AGTTTCTTTGCGGATATATACAAGTTTCAAGTGTCCGATAGTACTCTGCAAGGTCAATAAGCACCTCTGTACTTGTCCTGCACTTGTACAGAGTTTCCCGGCCATAGCTAAGACCCTCACAAGCTCGTCCACTGTTAAGCATTGAACCTCATTTTACTGTTCTTGCAGCATGCGCCGTGGGACTTTGGCTGTATACGCAGCGAGTCACTCGATGTGAGTCTAGCATCAGTGAGTACACGCTTGTTATTGGCACAGTAGGCAACCCTAGAATCTTAGATTCTAGTTCACGCCTTGCATGTCGCCACTGTTAGTGTCACGATCGTTGGTTACCTCGGTAAGTGACCCTATCGGATTCGTCCAACTTAAGCCGATGCCAATTATGACCAAGTGGTCTATGCTGGCGGTGCTGGAAAACGTGCCACTGGGCTAGCCGGACAGGGATGGAGGATGTTCTGAGTCTATGAGCGGCTCTGCCATGTTTGCGCACATCGATCATATTGACTCTCTGAAGCAGGTTATTGATGGGTTTTTGTGTCTGACTCCTGATCTAGATACCTGGTGCATTTTAACTTTGAAGGGCCATGGTCAACCCACGGTGGGAGATAGGTACTTTTGTTGCCTCTCTGATTATGGCCCTGGTGTTTCTGCTTCTTTTGGGGATATACCTGCTTCTCTTGTGGAGGGGCTGATAGGGGAGCGAAGGAGGCCATATCGGGAAGTCCGGCTTGCCCGGGGGTGAAGTTTGGACGGCTGCGGTACTCAGGTGAAGGACGACACACACTTGACCGGACCTAACCAGGCAAAAATCTATCCCCACTAAAGAAAAGCCAAACAAAAACATACAAAAGAAGGGATTCGCTGGTGGTCACCCACCCAACTACTAACCTCCCGGCGTGTGGCTTGAGTACGGCTGAGCGGACGGGAAGCCCTATTTTCCACACCCTGTGGTCGTATGTGCCAATTGACTGTCCATAATTTATCATAACTAACGCAAATGTCTACTACATTTCCATTCCATGTTGAAACTCCTGTCGCCACCTGCGTTTGAAGCAGTGAGTTTTCTTAATCACTGGCTGCAAGAGAAACCTCTCAGAGCCCTCTCCCCGAAAAGTGCTCCCTGGGTCCCGATCGATCCGAGGACAAAGAGGTCCCTTACGAGAACCTTTCGCTAATCGCGATATCATGAGTAGTGAGATAAATGATTAACTTCAGTCCAAGTCGACAATTAGGGCTAATGCACTCCGAGGGGGGTGGAAAACCCGCCCCTACCTAGAATATGTTCCGGGGACTCAGGCAGTATCTCTCGGCGCGTTCTCATTATGGGCCTACTGTACGCTTCGGAAATTATCAAGGCTAGCTTAGACAAGCTCTTTGGGGGATGATCTCTTGGAAAGTTTGAATTTTATAGACATGTAACTGTTGCTGGTGCCGAGTTCTTGATATATGCTTGTTTAGGCTTGTTCTTTGGCTCCCGCCAGACCCTCTAGGGCCTCCGGTGATAGCCCGTACATTCAACAATTGAAGTACGGATGATCCATCCGATCCATCCGGACCAGGTTATTCCAGCGATGCTCTTGCCAAAAAGCGCGGCGGTGCCGTCGCGCTTCCGGCAACCCCATAGGCCAGCTGCCGGTGTTTTGCATGATCTTGTCACTAATCTCCTGGGGGAGTCGGGCCGCAGCGCGCAGGGTCTCCCCGACCGCTTGTGCCCACCAGTGATGCTGCTGCGGCGGCACATTGCGGGTGGAGCAGATGCGATAGTGCGGGTCAACCAGATGCAAGGTGATGGAACGATAATGCCCCGGGCGGCTGGAATCGGCCAGGGAGAAGGGCTCGACGCGGTGCTCGAGAAGGTTGGGGAATGCGATCACACGCCCTTGCGAGAGCGAAACTGCGCCTTGGTCCTGCCATGTCCTTGCTGCGTGATTGTCGATGTCGAGGTCGAAGCTTGAAAATCCTAAGATCTGTGCCAGTTCATTCAGATCCGAGTGGGTGTTTTTCCCATATCGCCGGGCGGGCAGCAGTCGGGGATGCCACTGCCACTTTCGCCCTTGCTCTTTGTACTCCCTATATCGATAGAAGCTTTCATCTAGCTTAGTATTCTGACGGAAGGCGATTCGAGGTTCGGTAATATTGTCGATATCGTAGGCAAACACGGCAAGAGCAACAATGTGTTCGTTGAGCTGGCCTTCCATGTGCCAGTCCGTGCCTTTGTAGTCCCCACTGTCAGGGGTAAGCTCGATGTTCTCCATGTTGACAATGATTTGTAGTCCCTGCAAACGGAAGGTGTCCTGGAGCCGAATTGTATAGGGTTTGTGGGGCGGTGTGAGCGGCTCGTAGGGAACATCGTGCCAGTGCTTCCTCTCGCGGACTAGATCCACCACAGCTCTCTCGTTGTGGCGCGCCGTCTTCCACTCTTCGTAAGAAAATGCGGTCCCTGGCTCGGGGTGACAGAAACGCAGCAGCCGCTTGACATTGCCTTGGATCTTCCCCCACGTGTCTTGCTGCCAGTCGTCCGGGGCAGGAACGGGAGTGTCAGACCCGTCCCCAGGGAGCTCGAGATACTCCTTCGCGCGTTGCCAGAGCTCTGACTCCGGGGGCGGCAACTCCTTCTCTTCGTTTCCCTCCACGTCTGGATAGCAGTCCAGCCGTTCTTGCGCCTCTCGGTGTCTGCGGCGACCCTCGTCCGTGTCATCTCCCACACTGTCCAGAAGCGCTTCTCGCGCTTTGCGGTACATCCTCTTCCTTCCTGACCCTGGGACCCGGAAGGCGAGCAGCCATTCGGGAAGCTCATTCTCCCATTCGACTCCATACGTGATGATCCGGAGCGGGACCGGCCCCAGCTGGCCTTGGTTCAGGATATCCTTCCAGCCGCGCTGTCCCTGCACCAGACAGTCGTTCCACAATGGAATCGCCCGGCTCATCAGCGTCTCGATTGCCCGGTAGAGGTGCTTGTGCATCGGGTGTAGATTGTTGATGTACGATGTGAGGCGCACCTGCGTTGACCCTGCCTCGCCGATGAACTCCACTTCACACGGTAGAGCCTGATAATTCGCGCTCCACCGGTAGTGAGGCGCTGTTTCATCATCGACATGCACATGCCGGGCCTCCTCCATCTGCCTCTGAACATCCGCCGCATCGGTCCTCTTATCCACATGAGTAGGCGCAAGGGGAGTCGCTCCCTGGTACGCGCCCCACACATCCCCTAGCTCCACTCGACCCCCATCCGCCAAGACCGGGCTCCGCCCATAGACCAGCGGAAACAAGGTCGGGTCGATGATACTCAACCGAAGCCGTGACCGCCAATCCACCATCCCGGATTGCACGAGGGCGCGGAGCACCGGCTTCACGGCGCGTCGGAACTCCCCGGCCAGCTCCCCCGTTCCTCGCGCAGGAACATAGTCCGACTTGCAAACACAGGACCCCGTGTCTAGCACCCGGATATGTCCCTTCTGACGATATTCGACGGCCTTGTCGCGCAGTTCCCGGACGCACCAGGCCCAGGCCCGATCACTCAGCAGGGGATTCATCGCGAGGGAGGCGATGCTGTCTTGTCGCCAGCGCGCCACGACCCCGTCATCGAAGACGTCGACATGCCAGTTGGGGCGGTCGGTCAGACGGTTCATGGCGGTTGTCATGGCCAGCTCTCGGGCGGTGACGGCGGGCGCCTGTCGCCACTCTTGGATGCCATGGGCAAAGCGCGCGTCGGATGGGAGCTCGTATGTCAGAGGAATCGTGCCAAAACCGGGTACTCGGAGCGGGCCGTCGCCGCTGTTGTCGAAGGTGATAATGGTGGGCTGGTCGGCTTGGTCGGCAGGAGACGGATGATCATCGTGCATGATGGAGGAAGAGGGGGAGAAGGATGTTCCGTTAATTGAGATGCAAGTAAAAGGAAATTTGGTGAGGGTGAAAACGTGAAGCCTCGCGCAGAGAGAGAGAGAGAGAGAGAGAACTTGAAGGGGGGGGGGGAGATCCGACAGGTTTTGTGTACTTGGTCAGGCAGGGTCTGCTAGGCCCTTTTGGTGTTTAGTCTGGCATTCTATCGACACTTGTAGCAGGCATCTAGTAGCTGATGAGACACTTGAACGGGAAGCTGCTCACGGCTAGCCAGGTGAGTACTTGTACTCTGTATTTTGCTGAGCAGATATGTGATAGTATGTCCGAGTCTGTCCAGAGTATAAGTTATATCTAAGCAGAACTTGAATAGATTTAGATTCAAATTGGAACACTGCTCACCAGATATATAGACCAAGATCTCACTTGTTTAACGATATAACAGAGGTAACCTTCTCTTCTCGTGATCCCCTCCTTGGGGTTTCCTGTGAGGTTTCCTGTATATGCACCGGGCACGAGGCTCAAGTTGCACCGGTTTGTATGGTTGATTTGCATTATTTGCACTTCCGTGCGCAGCCACAACTTCAAATCTCCAACTCTTCTTCTTTGGAAACCTGCCATACGTGGTTGACGTTCTTCTTGTGCTACTGGCATGTAGGCGATGGCGGATGAAAGTGTGCGCGGTGGTTCCCAATTAATCGGGTTAGAGGCTCGAATGCCACGGTACTCTATATATATTGCACAGGGCGGAAGCTCCCAACAAGCGTTCAACTTCGCAGTAAACAACAACTCTAGGTATACTCTGTGTACAGGTCTGTCGTGTAGAATTGATCACCCGTGAAATATACATAGGGCATGAGAAACAGGTTTTGAGTTAGGGCGCACAGTCACCTAAATATAAACTCAACCCCCATCATATACATCCACATTCAGACACCTTCTTTTCTTTTCTTGATGATGCCACAAATCCAGCAAATGACATCATCAAGCCCGGGTGGTCTAGTGGTATGATTCTCGCTTAGGGATTCCAAACCCAAGCATATCTGCGAGAGGTCCCGCGTTCGATCCGCGGCTCGGGCCTTGTTTCTTTTGTTTTTGTTTTCCTCGACTCTGTTCTGGTTTGAGGTAGTCTTATATTAAGTAAGTCAGCTTCTGACATCATAAGAGCCCGGATGGTCTAGTGGTATGATTCTCGCTTTGGGATCCACATCTTAAATGCGAGAGGCCCCGCGTTCGAATCGCGGTTCGGGCCACTCTTTTTTGTCTCTGTCCACGTCCTTCCTTCCAAGGGAGGCTGAGCAGGACAGGTGTTTTGATTTCCTTTTGTTTGTGATGCGGTTGGTAGTTGTTTGCGATCGAACACCAGCCCTACGATGTGAGTGTCCATTGGCTTTGGCTAGGGGGATTGTGTTCCATGGTAGGGGAAGGCTCGAGCCATGTTTACTTCCTTAATCTTGTTCGATTCTCGAACTAGACGCAACACCCTGATTAATGGTCTATGTTACAGCGATTTTCCCACCCACCCCTCGTACACAATCTGGAACCCATTTAACACCCAGTAAATATCGATATCTGCACAATCAATGTAATCATTAGTCATGAACCCAGCCCGCTGACCTTGACAGGTATAAGATTGCCTGTGGCCGTAAGAATGTAAAGCCCGTGCAAAGACCCTAAAACGAGCCGTAGTACTCCTCGAATTCATCCTCAGGTTCAGCTGCCGCCCCCCTGCCGGCCTTCGGCTTCAAAACGTCGGTGATGCTGACCAGCTTGGAGTAGAAGTCGATGACCCGGGGGTGGACCATGACCCTGCGGGCGTCGAACCGCGTAACCTGCAGGCCCGCCTTGGAGGTTGCACGACTCAGCGCGACGTAAGCCTGGCCCTTCTCGAACACCTTGCCCAGATCGACCTTGACGCGCTGCAGGGTCTGGCCCTGCGCCTTGTGGATGGACAGCGCCCAGGCCAGGATCAGCGGCACCTGCTGGCGCTGCGCCTGCACCTCGCCGTTGGGGAGCTCGATCTTCCACGTCTCGGGCTGGCAGAGCAGATGCCGCTCCGTGCCGTCGGGCTGCACGAAGCACACCAGCGGCCACTTGCGCGTCGTCACGGCGGCGGCCGCACCCCCGTCCTTGTGGGCGAGCGGTTTGAGCTTCTTGCGGGCCCGCGCCATGATCGCGGCGTCGTCGTTGTCGATATCGTTGTCGCCCTCGCCATCAAGTTTGTTGCCTCCCGAGAATTCGTTCTCGTTCTCAATGTAGTAGTCGAAGGTCGCCTCGTCCATGAACGCGACCACCCGCCCGATCGACCCGTTCACCAGCGTGTCCTCCATGTTCTTGATCAGCATCACCTGCGCCCCCTTCTTCAGGTGGATCACCGGCGGCGCCATGCAGTTGGAGAGGAGCTTCTCGCGAAACTGCGGGTCTTGAATCGTCCCCGAGTCCTGCGCGGTGAAGGTCATCACTTCGCCCGAGAGTCGATTCATGCGCGCACTGTTCGCGTGGTCGACTTCTTGTCGGGTGGGGAATCTAGCCAGCTGTCAATACCATGCCTGGATTTTAAGGGGGGGGGGGTAAGGCTCACAACTCAGTAGCCTCGAGGGCGTCGTGGAAGTTCAGCGGCCGAGAAAGCTGCTTGAAGGTTTCGATGGTGCGCGGGGTCAACTTGCCCAGGCGCATCTCGTTCAGCATGTCGGCGAACTCCGGGTCCTTCTGGCGGAAGATGTGGGTGAGCAGGATCGTGTGTTGGATCGAGGTGTTCCAGGTCGAGGCCGCGAAGGCGAATTTGGCCTCGCGGTTGCCGCCCTCGGGCACCGGGGGCAGCTGGAAGAAGTCGCCGGTCACGACGAGCTGAATCCCTCCGAACGGACGGCCGTTGTTGCGGATCAGTCGGGCCACTTCCTCCAGCTTGTCGAACAGGTCGCCGTCGACCATGGACACTTCGTCGACGATGAGCACCCGGGTGCGTAGCCAGCGGTTCCGCGCCTTTTGGTTCTTCTTGATCTGCTACGCCGTTAGCCATGGCATTACGCCGTCATTCCTGTGCGGCGAGTTGGCCGGATGCCGACTGACCTTCTTGACCAGCTCGGGCACCGGCTCTTTGCCTAACCCGATCCCCGCAAAGCTGTGCAGCGTTACGCCCTCGATGTTACAAGCGGCGAGACCGGTCGACGCTGTTACCGCGACCCGATCCGGTTCCCGTTTGTACTTGTCCCGCAGCTTCTTGATGATCTCCCGCATCAGCACCGACTTTCCTGTTCCGGCCGATCCCGTGAAGAAGATACTCTTCCCCTGCTGCACCACGGCGTCCAGAACGTGTCGTTGCTCGTCACTGAGGAAGATCGACGCCACCTGCGCCCGGGGTGGTGGCAGCTGGCCCGTCACGAGCGCCTTCATTTCCTTGTTCTGCCGCCGCAGTTCCCGCTGCTCCTCCTTGATCGCGCTCGCGGACTTGTTCCAAGGCGCCGTCTGCTTCGGACGCGCAGGCGTCACGGGCTTCCGGGGACCCATACCCACCTCTTCGTCTTCCTCGCCCAGCCATGGTAGTTTCCGCGGTTTCTTGACAGGCGCCTGGAAGTGGGATGGGGGCGACGAGGACCAGGGGTACTGTATGCTGCTCGAGGGGGGCTGATTGTCATCGGCGGGCATCGGAGGGAGGTCGGGGTACTTCACCGCCGCCGATGACGTATCGCGGGTGGGTGTTTCCGTCAGGTCGACGACCGAGATCTTATCGTCCGCGAACGCGCTGCTCAGATTCGGGTATCCCGCCATCCCATCCTCCTCCTCTTGCTTCTGTCCTTTCGTGATCTTGGGCGGTCTGTCGATTTGAGTAGCCACTGCGGCGGCGTGAACGGGGGCGGCGGGGCGAGTGAATGGGTCGGGAGCCTCGAAGTCCAAGTCCTCGTCATCGTCAAAGTCGTTCTCATCGAAGTACACCTCGTCGTGCAGCGATCCCAACGTCGATTGCGTGCTGGTCATCTCGATCTTCCGCTTGACCCCTAACGACGACGCCGGGGCCGCCGGTTTGTGCAGCGGTGCGGCACTGCTGTTGTTGCGAGCCCCGAGCGTGGACTGCAGCGGAGCCGCCGGCGCGGCGGGGTATCGATTGGCAGCTCGCTGAAACATTGGAGGGGTTGGTCCTCGTCCGGACGGAGACAATGGTCGACGACGAGAAGACGGAAGAGGAGGGGGTAGTCGATTCGAGGCGGATCGCGGTAGTATCAATAATGGACCATTGGAAGTGGTGAATTGACGATATGAACCCGATGACGCCCGTACGTGGTGTCTGGCGAGGTGCATATGCTGGCTTCTCGGGGCCGATAAGGGTCTCGTGAAGGAGAGGAATTCTTGTGGAGGTGGGGTTTATCCTATCCTGTTATTGATGAGTAGTGGTTTTTTTTTTTTTTTTCGAATTGGAAGTTAATCCGCGTTCCTTTGGAAATATGCGCGTTTTTGTTGATTGGATACGCGCCCGCGCCACTCTGCTTCTTATCGCACGTGACATGCTGATAAGCTGTCGTGCCCTAAGCACGTGAAAGCCGGAGCTGGAGCAGACATGGCCGGAATTTGGGTTGGCTGTGAGTCTCTTGATCTGTGATCAAGATTAGTGTTTTGTCGTAGAGTGGTTCATGGCTTCTCAAGCATAAGCTTAGACAAAGTGAGAGCGGCACCCACTGATACCACCCAGTCACGTGATCGCGCATCGCCTTTGCGCGCTCTCCGGCGCGAAGTCGGGGAAGCAAACCAAGATTCACCCCATCGCACAGGCTGGAGGTCTCATTCTGCTCGGCGACCATGAACGATGGCTGAGACTGCGGGCGCAAGTAAGTTTCCTTTGAACGCTACCATTGCAAGTTTAGCACTAAGCCCCAATGACCTGGAATAGACAAGGAGCATCCCCTCACCGGGGTGGTTCTCTGCTTCACCTCAATCCTCCCCGAGCAGCGGGTAAAGTCTCGATCCCACCCACACCCTGAAGTCATGGCTCTTCCCACCACGATAATGTCCGCTAACATCTTTGGAAATGGGCGATAGTCTGAGATTGCCTCCGTCGCGAGTCAGATGGGAGCGACCCACAAGTTCGACCTCACCTCTGATGTCACTCACCTGCTGATCGGCGAGGTCAACACGCCCAAGTACAAATTCGTCGCGCGGGAACGGGCCGACGTCACGGTCCTGAAACCCGAATGGGTTGAGGCAGTGCGTCAGTCGTGGATTAAGGGCGGCGACACGGACATCCGCGCGCTGGAGGCCGCGTACCGATTCCCGGTTTTTGGAGGCTTGTCCATCTGCATTACGGGGTTTGAGGATAGTGAGTTTTGAGTTCATCAGACACAGATCCGCTGGGGTATGGAGGCTCGTCTAACAACTTTCTGTTTTTTTTTTTCGTCTTCAGTGTCGGTTAGGAACTACATCCAGGACACAGTCACGGCCCATGGCGCCGAGTTCCGGAAAGACCTCGTGAAAGGCACCAGCCACCTGATCGCGCGGAGCACCGAGGGGGACAAATACAAGTTCGCGATGCAGTGGGGGATCAAGATCGTCTCGATGAAGTGGCTCACCGACAGTCTCGAGCGGGGGATGGTCCTGGAAGAGGCCCTGTACGACCTGCAATTGCCGTCGGAGCAGCATGGCGTTGGCGCCTGGCATCGAGCCTTGCCCGCGCCCAAGCCCAAGGCTGCCTCGGGGGCCGACAGTGAGAACCCCTCGAATAACCCCCGACCCCGAAAACTGCGCCGTATCGCGAGCACGAAGCTTGGAGACCAGAACGAAGGCATCTGGGGCGATATCATTGGCATCGGGTTCGAGGCGGGCGACTTTGGCCGGTCCAAGGGGAGCCAGCAGAGCGAGACCCGGGCCTTGCGGAAGGCTACCTCGGGCCTCCAGGAGGTGAAGTCGTTCGCTAGCGAGACGACCATGGCGGAGGCGCAAGAGTCACGTCCCCAGCCACCACCGGAGCCGGTCGCTAGCAAGGATGAAGGGTTTCTGCATGGCTGCTACTTTTACATACATGGGTTCTCGTCGAAACAGGTTTGTGTCTTGGGGTACGGATACCATCGGGCTAGAAACTAATACGTTCGGCAGACGAACGTGCTACGCCACCATCTATCGTTCAACGGGGCACAATTGGTGGGATCCTTGAGCGAGTTCACCCGATCAGACATCCCGAAAACCGGCCACGGTCTGTACACAATCGTTCCTTTCAAGATGTCTAAAACCCAGGTTCCGTCCACCGATGATTTGGCATTCGAATGCGAAGTGGTGACGGATATGTGGCTGGAGAGATGCCTTGATGCGAAAACACTCGTGCCTCCAGAATCCCACGTCGCAAACACGCCCATTCCCTCATTTCCGGTCGACGGTAAGTCCTCTCGCTTCAAGCTTGGAGACTGCTCTGACGGTCTTAGGATTATCTGGCCTTAAGGTTTGCTCAACCGGGTTCTTCCGTATCGATCTCCTGCACTTGTCCAAGCTTGTCAATCTAATCGGTAAGGGACATTCCGGCTTCATATTAGACCAAGACTAATCCTTTAGGTGCTACATACAACGAGTACCTGACGCCCAAGGCTTCTGTGCTCGTCTGCAACGACGCCAGCCCTGTGAACCAGGACAAGCTACGGCATACTCAGGAGTGGGGAGTGCCAGCAGTCTCTGCGGACTGGCTCTGGGCCTCCATTCGCCACGAGAAAAAGCAGCCTTTCGAACCCTATCTAATTCAAAAGCAACCCACCCAAAGTGGCAAGTCTCGGGAGAAGCGAGCTGGCTCGCATCCGGAGCAGAACCGACCATCCTCAACCACCAACCAGCCCACGAACGCCACCAAAACAACCGCTCATCACCAGACTGGCCAATCAAAAACCCGAATCGATGGAACAGGCCACCCTTATCGAGCAACCGACACCGCCAAGGCGGATGAACTTGATCAACGGCACGAAGCACCATCCAAAGCGAAGCCAGACGACCGCTCTCGAGTCCCTACCCCAGTCAAAGAATCGCCCATCAAGAAGAACTCAATCACCTCCACGAGCTCCTCACCGCTCAAACGCAAGATCTCCGATGTCTCCACCGGCCCGACCGCGCAATCCGTCATCGACCTGGCCGTCAGCGGCCTCATGAAACAAGCCCGCACCAATTCTGGTTCTGAACCCGGGGACAGCCACGGTGACCGGCCCCGCTCCCGCGCTCGGAAACCGCTCCTCGGACGCGCGCCCTCGAGCCGCACCAACAGCGGCGGCCTCGTCTCCCTCGACCAGCACCACCCGCAGACGAAAGCGTTCTCGTTCTCGCGCGCCAGCTCCATCGACACCCTCAACGACGACGGCTGCGGCAGCGCCATCTTCGACTCCAACCACCCCGCGGACAGCGGCGGCATCCTCTCCCGCGCGAACAGCACCGCCGCCCGACTCGAGTACCTGGACATGGAGGGCAGGACCGCCAGCAATTCGATGGTCATGTCCGAGTACGAGCATGAGTACGCGGGCGAGGAGGACGAGAACGAGCCGCCGGCCATGACGCAGCTGGACTACGAGGATCCGGACGCCGTGGCCATGCGCGAGCAGTTCTTGCATCAGGCGGGGAAGGCCGTGGCGAAGAAGAGTGCCGGTAAGGCTGCCGGTCTCGGGGATCAGCAGCTGGTGCCGGAGTTCCGGGAGCTGGAGAATGTGGGGTGGGGCGGGGGACGGAGGACGAGGCATGGGCAGAAGGCGGTTGAGGAGGGATTTTGAGCTTGTTCTGGTATTTACATCGGTTCTTCCCCTACGACCCTGCGGTTGGGGGTGGGGGGTAGGTGTTTGATTTGGATCCTTTTAGGGTTGAATATGTTGTTCATGATATGCGTGCATGGCGCGGCGTCCTTTCTCATACATGCTGAATACATTGTGCTTTTGGTTCCTCATTCGTGTCTGTACCTTTGCCTGTGGATCTTGATTCTTGTGATCTGAGAAGAAATCTAAAATGATTTTTCCGAGGGCGGTCATCTTTCCAATAACCATCAGGGGCTCAGATCTCTTGAGGCCTCATCGTGTCATGCAACTACCTGAATCTCGAAGCTTCTGTTGCGTCTGTAGTGGCATTATTCGATCACTTGAGACTTACTGATCAGCAGGAGCCGAGGCAGAGCAAGTCATTGAACTACCTTCATCCTGATGGAGTGAGAAAGACGTTAGGAGTGATCCCCAAGAGTGCCAGAAGTGATGTCTGCTCCCTGCATCACTGACTAATCCGCCCTCGACTACATCGTCCCCTGCGCCTGTCCATCACAACAACCACTCCCCCACATCTGTCCATGTATTCGCAGAGCCCAGCTCCAGTATGCTTTCCTTCCGTAGATGCCCCAGGAGCCTCAAGCCTCGAAGCTTGATAGCTCCACTATCCATCCTTTGTCGAGGTAAAACACCTCCCTAAGCACAGCACCTTCTTCCTAGTAGCGGAACCCCCCTAACTCCCCCAGGCAACGCCATCGCCCGCGAAGAGCTATTCACCTACACCAATGGCCATTTCCTCATCGACGAAGAAACCCAGCTCCGTCGACGATACCTGAAATTCAACATCGAAGCTCTCTGCGATCTCGCTGCGACAGCCGGGGTAAATCCATCCCCGATCCGAACGATTGAGAAGCTCGAGGGAGGGTTCAGCAAAGCCCTGCTGCTGACGAAGGAGAATGACGAGGAGGTTGTTGCGAAGCTCCCGTATCATATCGCGGGACCAGCCTCCCTGACTGTCGCTTCTGAGGTCGCGGCTCTGCAGTATGGTATGTATCCCTCATCTATCAATCTTACTGATGCTCATATGGTATCAGTTAAGAAGTATACGCGTATCCCCGTTCCAGGAGTGCTCTCCTGGTCCTCGGACAGTTTGAGCCCGATCGGAGCCGAGTACATCATCATGGAGAAGGCGGCAGGGGTTCCGCTGTATGAACGATGGGAGGGGATGGCGGAGATCGAGAGGTTGGGGCTGATCCAGGATCTGGTGAAGCTTGAGGCGCAACTGTCAGCCATTGCATTTCCTGCGTACGGGGGGCTCTAACGGAGGGTTGGTGCGGACCCAATACGATCGCCACAGGCGTGTGTGGACGTAGACTCTTCTGATCGGTTTTGCGTCGGGCCATCGTGTCATCCTTCGGCTGCGACTGATTCAGCTGCCCCCCGGTCTGAAAGCTTTAGCCATGGGCCTTGTGAGCCCTTACCACAATAGACCATGTGTTGCGTCAGCTAACCGACCTCCAGGGCGAACTTTATCAGACCTGGGAAAGTCAACCCCCCGGTTACCATTCCACCAAGGTAGCATTCAAGAGCAAACCCAGCTCTTAGAAGCTGCAATGAGTGTATTCCAGCAGATCGACTCGCACCCATCAATCGGCCAATCGGCCCAGCCTACACTATGGCACACGGACCTCCACATGGGAAACATCTTCGTAGCTCCGGACGAAAGCTCGAGAATCGTCTCCCTGATCGACTTTCGGTCCCTGTCCATCCACCCTCTATTCCTTCAAGCCCGATGGCCAGTCTTTCTCAAGCCCCCAATAGACTATCCAAAGGGTTTTGTGAAGCCCACACTCCCAGACGGTTTCACTTCCCTCGACGAAGAAAGCCAGGCAGCTGCTCTGCAGGAATTCTCCCAGGCCAAGCTCGCCAAAGCATACGAAGTCGCCAAATTCCTCGACGACCGCGTCGCCCACGACGCGATGGTGAACGTTGTGCCCCGCGTCTTTCGGGAGTTGTTCGTCCGCTGCGGCGAAGTCTCGGAGGTGGGAATCGTGCCGCTGCGCGAGAGTCTGCTTCAGATTTTCCAGAACTGGTCGGCGTTGGACTTCACTAGTGAATGCCCTTATTCATTCAGCGATGAAGAAACCCGTCAGCACGAACGCCAATATGCAGAGTATCAGGCGTGGAATGATGTCCAGCAACTCGCGATGGAGTGCCTCGACACCGACGCCGAAAAGTGGATTGCACCGCAGCTGGATATCGCCGAGAAGCGGAGGCAGAATCGGGAGCTGCTGGCGATGTGGACCGAGCGAGCAGCAGCCGAGGAAAGATCCCCGGATGAGGCAAGAGCCATGTGGCCGTTCCCGGAGTCATAACAGTTTTCAGGTCTGGCCAACTGAGAACTTATACAAGACTAGGTAGGGAGCAGATCTAGCTATAGCGGTCGTGCGCTCGTCTGATTATGGCCATCCCTGTTTCGACCGCCCCGTCGCCTCGGATCTTCCTGCTGCGTGTTGTTAGAAGCTACAGGTAGCTATACCAATATCGTTTAACCAGATCTGCGAGTGGATTTCCATATCAGCACATGTTAATTATACCTAATGATGGATCAAACTGGGGTTCTTTTCTTGCTGACGGTTTTAGGCATACTGTCTCAGACCACGCCTCTTGAATACCTAGTACTCTCCACCTCTGTCGATCCTCTATACCCCCCCTCTCTTTACCCAATCATCCGAGCTAAGACTACATCCATATACACAGCAAGTCTGGGAGGATCAGGCGTGGTTTATGATCTTTCATTTTCTATCTTACTACCAGGTGCCCAGCAGCTTCAAAGCAATGGGCTGCATACTGCTAGAGTATGTTTGGTCTGATAGATAGATGGCGTTGAGGTCCCATTCGGACACAGGCGTCTAGTTCCTCATTGTTGTTATCCCATGATCAAGCCTATATCAAGCTCTGCCGATGGTCTACGCACTGACTTATTATCGCTGTGTATAATATCATTATCTGAGCCAGCTTCGTATATACAGTTGGCCCATTACGATATATTTCGAACAAAATAGTCCCACCGGCTGAGAGAGAACGAAACTCCCAGAATCACAGCAAGACAAGACTCCAGGAAAGACAAACACAGCACGGTAACAGGCAGCAACGAAAGAACAAGATACCACTGATCACAAAATTCCCTCCCGGCTCTTATGCCAAAGATCAAAGACTAAACCACCAGAGAACTCCGTACAACCAACACCTTCAGTTTCTTACTAGGCACAGGCGTGCATTATATACCAATCCTTTACACAGGACACCTTCACCATCTCAAGATGACGCCTTCACCTGCTCCTTCCACCGCTGCTCCACCACATCCAAGCCAACCCACTTCTTCATCGTCCCATCGAAGAACCCCAGCGGCAGGAGGCCCGCGATCCGGGCCATCATGGCGAGCTTGCCGCGCCAGATCCAATACGGCGGAGTGCGCTTACTGAGGTCGCGGACCACCTGCTTCGCCCACGCCGCGGCGGGGGTATCATTCTCGGGATCGGTATTGGTCAAGGCGCGCTCCACGGTCTCCTTGGCGACATTGTACAGGGAAGAAGCAGGCAGAGTCGGGTGCGGCGCCTTATCATGGAAGGTGGACTGGACCGCGCCGGTGACGAGGTTGATCACCTTGATGCCGAAGGGCTCGAGCTCGAGTCGCAGGGTCTCGGTGAAGCTGGAGGCGGCGGCCTTGGAGGCGTTGTAGGCCCCCGCGAAGGGCCCGGTGGCGCCGATGGTCCCGGAGATGGAGGTGTGGTTGACGAGCAAGGTCGGGCCACGGCCGGGGCCACCGGTCCGGGCGGACTCCAGGAGTAAAGGGAGGAAGGCCTGGGCGACGCTGATCAGCGACCAGACGTTGAGCTCGAACAAGTCCCGCGCGATCGGGATCTCGATGTCCATGACGGGCATCGAGTACCCGCCGCCCGCGTTGTTGATCAGCGCGTCCAGCGACCCGCCCGTCAGCTCCTGGACGCGGGCGACGCAGGCGCGGATCGACTCGTTCGACAGAGTGTCCAGCAGGACGGTCTCGATGCCCGCCTTCTCGGCCTCCTTGAGCTTCGCGGGGTTGCGGGCCGTGGCGAACACGCGCCAGCCCGCTTGGTGGAATTGGAGCGCGAGGGCGGATCCGAGACTGCCGTCGGAGCAGCCGGTGATGAGGACACTGCGCTTGGATGACATTTCTTGTGGTGCTTGTTTGCTGGAGGTGTGAATTCAGGATGAAATGCTTTTCGAGCTGCTCTTTGCGAGAGCTCGGGCCTCAGGGCGGCACACGACAGGGGCGATTAAATATAGGGAACAAGGGTCAGCTTGACGGAGCTGATCCCTGCTCCCCTTCGATACATGAGACTATTGCATCTATGATGCGACAAAGAATGAATATCGTGTTGCTGGCTGGATTCTTTGGAGAGCGCTTGTCGGTGGTTGCTAACATAGGAAGGAACAATAGTAAGGATTAGTGGGGACAATACTAGATCCCTGACTCCCTGTGTCTCTGCCAAGCAAGGGAAACGAGATCAACCCACGACAACAAAGACCCCAACACGAGTACACTACATTGCAGCCTCGTCCAAATTCTGGCACCTCCCATCGCATCGGTTTATACTCATCATTGCCCGGGGGTCGACATAGTGCTGGTAGCAGTAATTGTTCTTTCGGACCTCGATAGTCCGCACGGGATAGTAGGGATAAATAGATAGGGACCTGGACCTGCGGCGCAGGAGAAGCGTGTCAGACAGTTGCTCCGAGCAAATCGAATCCAGCGAGAAGGCGTCTGTAGCAGCTGTTTGGAAGCTGTAGGGGGGCACTTTGACACTTTCTGAACAGGGTTTATCATATAATGTGATATAAGTAAGGCCAAGTTGATCGAATCAAGTAGATCAAGTCAGCAGATGCCTTCCAATGCTAATTCCTCAACAGGTGAATTCAGCTATGCGAGGCTATTTCGAGAGGTGGAGCCAGCGAAGAACCGCCGAGGTGGGTGGTGCAGTAGTGAGCGGCAGCCTGACTACTGAGGCTGCAGGGCCCGTCAACATATTTCTTTTCTTCTCTCCCTCATCTTCTGAAGCCGTGCGGACCGTCTCGGCGCTGCTCGACCCTCACGACGACGACGACGAGGAGGAGTCGGAATCCGAAAGACCCGCCCAATCGGGGCGCCAAACCTCCGCGCCACCACCTCCTTTGCGTGTCCAACCCGCCACCGGACAACATGCGGACACGTCCGAAAGTGTTGCCGCAGCTCGGGGACCCGAAATGCGCGCTCGACCGCCTCGCGGCCCCGCCAATTGACCCCGGGGCCCCAAGCATAGTACTCATCCCAGGTTTTTGGGGCCCCGCGGCGTTTCGGGCGAGATCGCTCCCAGAACTCGGTGCACCCCAGGCAATAGGCCCCGGGCTCGGCCGCGCGGGTGTGCGGGTCCCAGTAGGGGAAGGCCACCGTGGACGCCTGCCGGCAGTGGAAGGTCAAGCCGTAATAGCTCCGGTACGTGGAGCTCTCGCGCGGCGGTGGGGGCCTGCCGCGCTGCTTGTGCAGGGCTTCGGCCTGCGTGATGTCGATGAGCATCCGCTCCGACATCGGAGACTTGCCCAGCAGGTCAAACGCGGTGTAGGTGACTGGGAGATGGCACCAGTCTTCGAGGGGCAGCCGGTAGAACTGCAGGACGTCCTCCAGGGAGGCGACGCGGTATCGGCCGTGCCACAGGACGCACGGAAAGCACACCCGGGAGAGGCTCGGAAGGTAGAGGTAGGGGCCGAAGTTGGCGCAGGTCCGGCACCGCGGGTGGCAGAACTCGTGATACAGCTGTTGGATCGAGAAGTAGTGCGTGCATTGGGCCAGGTCCAGTGCTTGGAGGGTCTCGGCTGCGTGAGTTCGGAGAAGGCGATATTCAAAGAGAGCCGCATCAACTTGTTGGTGGATCGTGGTGTTGACTTGTCGTAAGTTGCCAAGGGCGACCATGTCGAGATTCAGGAAGATCATGCGAACGATCTCCAGCGGTAGTGTGTTCCACATCGGCTGTGGATGTTGCTGCAGCGGCGGCGGCTGGCTATGCAGTCGTTGCGGCTTTTGACATCGGGCTCGGTAAAGCCTCACGGCCCTCTGAAGGCGCTCTCGTGGCGCTGAGTAAATTTCAAGAAAATTTTGACTGGGCCGATCAAGGCGGTATGCCAATCCGGATGCCATTTTATGATACAGTTCTTGGGGAGTAAGAGTAGCATCGACTCCTCATGGCGCCATCATGGTTATTATAAAGAAACAAGCAAGATCGTAATGATACTACTGTGAGATCATCATTGAGGGGAAGGTTATCATTCCCCGGAATCATCGGCCGACAATGGCCTTTCATCAGCATCATTATTTCGATTGATGACGTCTGGTAGACTTAGTGGTCTACACCGTGCATTGGTGCACCAAGGGCGTGGGCAAGCTTGATTGAACAGGATCCCTAAGATGCCTATATAGAAGCCTGTATTTGTTCCGTTCAGCACTCAATCCCTCCCTCGTGATTCTCTCAGACACAAAACATCTACCATACCCATCCGCCGCATTGGGGAAGCTATCTAAGCCCCCCAGCCTCCGAGACCGTATCCCGGCCATCCAGCGCCGCCCTCAGCAACCGAATGATCTCGTCGAGCTGCGCGCTCTGACGCTGGTTCACCTGCACCAGCTCCCGCAGCCGGCGCAACGACTCCTCGTCCAGACGCAGCTGGGCCTTCTGGATTTTGATCATGGTCCTGAGGAGAGTAACTCTAGCCCCCTCCGATGAGGGTGGTTCTGGCAGTGATCGGGTGCAGTCGCGTAAGACGAGATACGTGAGCCGCAGGATTTCGATTTCGGGGTGGAAGACGCCGAGCCAGATGATCGCCGTTTCTAGTTTGCTTTGAGTAGGGGTGGAAATATGAGCCTAGAGAACGAGTTTTGAGGTTAGTGGGGAACCAGGGGAGGGGGGACAACGAGAGAGGAAAAGGAGATAGTTGATCTACCTTGTTCAGCTCCTCTGTGCTGGGTGACTGGCGGACTTTCTTCCTTAGAGTCTGGCTGCACATGCCCAGGTGGATGGCATCTGTATTCCCCAAAAAGCCCTTGACGCTGAGCAGAAGCTCCGCCGGGAGGAGCTCGAACCTTGAGAGCATCGATTCCGAAGGATTGCTGATACCGCTGTTGGTGCTTTCGTGGACCCCGCGACTGTCGACGTTCTTCGTGGCATGCTCAGCTGCGCATTCTACTTGCTCATCGATCATACTGGTACCCAAGCTCATGGTCGGTGTCTCAGGCCTTGATCTTGATGATGTTGATATGGTAGACTGCTTGTGAAGACCGAAGAAAGGGAGAAAGGCGTGGTTGGATGGTGGAAGGTGCATAATGGGAGGAGCGGAAGCTGCGCAGATGGGAGTGGCTCTCCGATGAACTCATTCTTGTGGCTGTTTACGGAACAAAGCCCCGGTTACAGCTTCGAGGATATTTTCTTCTTTATGTGGTTCTCCTAGCGTCACGAGAACTGGCCATCATGCCTGTCGACATGCCAAGGTAGATGGAACTCAGACATTATAGGAATCGAGAGTAAGCTTTAGACCTTTGGCCATGGTCAAGGAAACACAGCCAGCTTGCTTGAGCTGATCCTTGATCCCCTCGTATGGAGGAGACTATTGCATCCGACCAAGAATAAGCATTGTGCTTGATAGCTGGATCTTCCGTGCAGCGCTGATTACAGTATGGAGTACAGTCGCATTGAAGTATGCATGCCAGACAGCCTTGTTGTACAATCGGCAGACCGACTAAAGACACAGCCACGTAAGCTAGGCACGATAGTCCGTAAGTTACCGTGGTTTGTATGAGGGTGTCAGCGGCGTTGAGGCCCCCGATAGCCAGGCTGCTCACCGCCCGCCACGGCCCATGTTGATAGTTCCGCTCGGATAGCCTCACGTAGCTGAGTTCATAGTCCTTTGTTCCACGCGTGTCCATCCCATTTCATCGCCCTTATTCACCTGCATCTGTACCAGAATTACCAGAGGACTCACGGCATCATGAAGGGCTTGAAAGACTGGCTCTCCCGGCCACTTCAACTCTTCTTACGCAGCCGCCGCCCACACGAAAAGCGACTTTCTGGCCTAGAACTGTTACCGCTTGAACTTTTACTCCATATCACAAGATTTTTGGCAATCACCGACATCGTCTGCTTAGGTCTGTGCAGCCGAACGCTATATGGCTTCGTGACAGGTCTCTGCGATCTCAACCCAGTGCAACGCAACAAATCGATAGCTATTTCTGCCCTCAGCAGACTAGTCCGAGACCTCCCTCGGATGTTCTGCTGCCACTATTGTGCAAGATTGCATCCTATAACCGACGTCCGCCCCCCAGCAGTTGATCAGATTATCTTCACAAAATGCCCGGACCTGGGAGCTCCATATCTGTACCGGGGTGATGGTCCACTGCCTTCGCTATGGTGGTTCTTTAGGGTCCACGGTCTGCCCAGCGGATACAGATTCCAACACTGCCACCTGGTAGCCGTGCTGCAGAATCACACTTTTGGCGGCTGCTTGGGGATAGATTCTGAGTCATTGGCCTACACCGAGGTGGTTGACGATCCGGCCGATCCCGCCAGAACGACTCTGTTGTCAGTGGAAGGACGGGTCTACGTGCCTGCTGGAGCTGGCCCGACACCACCATCGCTAGTTCTGCAGATACAGCAGTGGGTATTATTTGATGATGACGACGTCGTCTTCTCCGACAGGGACAATGATGTTTCTCTTTCAGTGTTCCAGCATCGGTTCATTTGCGAAGCGCAGGAGCTGGACACTGCGGTGGTAATGGACGCCATTCGATCTGTTGTCCAGCAGCGGGGATTCTCTTCTCTGGACGAGCAACCGTCGGCCGCTACGGAGTGTATGCGGTGCCCAATTTGCGAGGTCGAGTTCCAGATTGCCCTTGAGGACTGTGGCAAGGATGGAAAAGCAGTGATCATTACCAAATGGCTAGACCTTGGGGCGGGAATGGATCTCGAAGATCCAAAGTGGAAGAAGAAGGCGACTTCCGAATACCCTGGGCCTCGGGGAGGGCTTGATCCAGCGATGGCGAGCTCGGGGGAGGTGCGTCGCTTGTTTTGTGAAAGCTCTGTTCAAGAGAGTGACCCTACCCGGCGAAACAAATCATACTTGGTTGGGAAGCGATACCGTCGCGCAATGTGCAAGAGTGGATGGGATTTCTTGTACTATACTACTCCTTCCATCGCTAGTCGTGGACCAAGGACTTGAAGGAGAGACCTGCTGCTGTCAATGAGATCTACCAGTAGCCCTCCAGTAGCACTCCGGTAGTACTTCGGTGGTTATCGAAACTCGCCCCTGCCACTCGGATGGGCAACCACCAAGTCGGGAAGGAAGGAATCTATACAGGTTGTCCAGAATGGAAGGAACTGACCCAGGTCGGAAATCAGCGACTATCTCAGCTCCCCCGCGCTCTTCTCGACTTCTTCTTTTCTCTCCTCTTCTCTCTTCACCAAACTCACCACCGTTATTAGCTAGTACTGCTGTACGTCTTCCCAAGCTAAGAACATGCTGAGTGTGGCTGATACTATCTCCCTTGTGGGGACGCTGGGGACCTGAATTGGATTACTCCATCCTTTGTTCACGGCCCTAATGCGTTACATTCTGCAATTCATTCGACGTTCAAACCCACCCGTGGATCCGGATCTCGAAGCCGCTTTGACCTGATTGGATTAAGTTGCGGAAGTGGTCTGTTCATAGGAGATCTGGATATCGTTGACTAGCTACGTCTACTGCACGGCTCGGTGAGAATGTAGATGCATAGGTAGGTAGCGCTGTCATAGATATATATTACTTTTGCTTTCCGGTTGGCAAGTAACGTCGCGCGGATATTGAGCAATGCCATCAGGGACGATGTCGACTGCCGCCCTGCAAAACATCGACAGCAACGATGGTGACGAGGCCCTGCATGAGAAGGGGAAGATTGAGAAGCAGCAGCACACATCGCGCAGCAGAATCCAGAGCATCATGGCCGGCTGATTCTCCGGACGTGTTTGGATGACCTTCGAGATCCCCGGGCCGCAGGGGTGGGTACCTAAGCACATCATGGGTCTCGGGTACGACGCACCAATACGAGAGCCGCTCTGGATCTTGTAGAGGCGCTTCGGTTGATCGTAAGCTTCCAAGTTCACTTCTGCCCATTCTTGAAGGTCTACATCTACTTCCCTCTCTCACGAGTCTGAGCTATCTGCAACCCAGAGTGCAAAGTTGTTCACACAGGTTAAGTACGAATAGGAGCCCTTGCCATCTCAATAGTAAAAGTACTGTACAATGGTCTAATCGATCCAAGTTAGTTATCAGATCTGAAGCTTACTAAGACAGTATTCTGCTAAGCTCCGAGAACCAGAATCTTCTCACTAATGTTGTCAAACGAGGACAGCCGATACAGTGGAAAATTGATGGCAAACGTGGTCGAACTATCTACTGTGGCTGTGATCCTTGGCCATGACTGGGGATTTCGAGACAGATGCCTGGAGCCTGGGCGTGCTAGTAAGACACTTGTGCCGCGAGTTCCTATAGACAGGTAGGTTTGTGGTTGGCCAGCATTATGGAATACTATGCTTGGGTGAAGGGGGGATTATTCTCTGATTAGAGTAGTTTTCTTACCGTAGCAGCGGTGGCCGGATCAAAACCCTCTGGAACGCTCCCTAGAGAGCTTACTAGGTTACAGCACTCCCTGGCCTCCAAACCCCATTCCACCCCACGGCGCCGGCCCCCGGACAGTTTCCCCTTGGAAGCTTTTCTACCCCTCGGCTAATCACGTGATCGCCAGCCCTATCATGTGTTAGGACATTTGGAGACCCTGAGCGGCCGACGGTATTATTTATTAGAGGTTTTTCGTTAGGGTCTACCTCTCGTAATTCCTGAGTTGTTGAGGTTTCTGTGTAGGTTTGCTGATTATACTGTCGGCCTATTTCATACCTGCCGATGGCCGCAATGGTCCTCCGTAGTATACGCTAGCGAGCTTTGCTCAATCATGCTCAAGAGTTTCTTCAAATGGGCCCTTCTTCAATGCGAGAAGTTGGGTGGTAGGATGAGACATTGCTGAACACCGGTACTGGCACCTCTCGAAGATAAATTTTCACCATAAAGAGTTGATCCCGTCCCGAAGCTTGGACATTGCTCAATTCTCCAACGAAAGGGATCGGGTCGCTACCTGATTCTTTGTTCTACAAATGCTTATCGTAAACCTAGAGAAAAGAAGGACAGCCTGTATGCTGATTGAGCATCGCTCCTAGAGCCTGGACGTTGATCAAATTCCAGACCACAAAATGCGACTTGAGCCCTACGGACCTGCCCATGTCCGACTCCATGAGAACATGGTCCTATTGTCAATCGACGAGCCAACATTTATGAAATCAAATGTCTTATTTCGTAGAAGAAAGGGCGTTTGGATTAATCTATCACAAAACAGATAGCCAGGGACATGTGCAGCACTCTGATCGTTCTCTCCATTCCTTAATACCGTCATTTCCGTGTCAACTCGCTATTCGTTTCCAGTCTGCCAAGTAGAGCTGAGTATTCCAGACCTTCTCAGAGTATGCACATGCATAGGGGATGTATTCGACCGACGAGTGATCGTCGTAGGACCTACACCCTTGGCTCCCCTCAGTGAACAGAGGGAATGTGTTTGTTGGAAGAATGGCAGTCGTAGGGCTATTCACTGAGGTAAGCCAAGGGTGTGAGCGTAGGAGGTGCATTCGGTGGTGATCGTTCGGTTCGAAGGGTGATATTCGTAGTCCACGCATCTTCTTGTTCTTCTCCTTGGTGAAGCCCTTGCCCCGGGTGATAGAAAAGTTTTGCCAGGCTTTCCCAGCGTAGTTATAGGAGAAATATTCGTTCAACAGGTGGTGATCGTAGGACCAACGCCCTTGGCTTTCCTCAGTGAGAAGTGTTGGGAATGTTTTGTTTGGAGGAAGAGGAACATAGGAGCAGCTTCTCTGGGAATCAAAAAAGAGACCTGAAAGTGTCGATGATAACATCAACCCGCCCGATTCCAATCAGAAAACACGTTGCTCAGACTGACAAAGGTTCAGATTAATGGCCCGTAGGCATGGCATGCAGATGATTTATCTGCCTGATTCTTGACTGCTGCGACTTGCTATAGCTTGCCGGAACAAGGTTTTCTGAGGGTGAAACTCCCACTGAACCCTCACAGCAGTGTGTTGAGTATGGCGCTCGCGCAGCAGGACTACATGCCGGGTCCAAGGATCGACAAAGAGAAGCCCAGCGCCGTTGGGAGCTCGCTGGAGGCTCATAACAGCCTCATCTCGGCTACTGAAGCGCACTGTGTTGATTCGAGCACGATTAGCAAAATCTAAGCGAAGGGATTGAACGAAGCAAGTACTCACAAGAGCGTAATGGACCCAGTGGCTTCACAATGAGCCCTGCGGCAGTCCTTAGGCAGAAGTTTTGACTACCAGTGCAGTTGAGCTACAATGATCTAAAGCTCAAAGAGACTGGCCTGGTTGGGCTGCCAGAGGCTCGTAACCACTTCACCAAGGCTAGTAAAGTGTACTAGGCAATTCGAGTATGATTAGCATCATTTCGGAGGAAAGAGACAGGTCAGGTAATCACTTACGGATGGGTAATGTACTCAGTGGCTTCAGATTCTTCAACAGCCTTTGAGCAAGAACTTGACCGTCGGAATGGGAAGACACGTCAACCCAATTGCGCTACAGAAATGGCAAGCTCGAAGAGGCTGGCCTTGTTGGTTCGACGGAGGCTCGTAACCACCACACCTAGGCTATTGAAGCGTACTAGGCAAATTCGAGTATGATTAGCATCAACTCGGAGGAAAGGGATAGGTCAGACAGTCACTCACGGATGGGTAATGTATCCGGTGGCCTCAGAGCTCTTCAGTAGTCCTTGCGCAAGAACTTGGCCGTCGGAATAGGGAGACAAGTGAAACTTGATTGAGCTGCAATAGTGGCAAGCTTGAAGAGGCTGGCATTGTTGCATTGCCGGAGGCTCACAATTAAGCTGTTGAAGCGTACTAGGAAACGTCGAGTATGATTAGCATCGTTTCAGAGGAAAGAGATAGGCCAGGCAGTTACTCACAAGTGGGTAATGTATCCAGTGGCTTCACAATGAGCCCTGCGGCAGACTTTCTTGAAAGTTTCCACAATCATGATCGTCTAGTTGAGCTACAGCGAGACAAGCTAGAAGAGGCTGGTGCTACTGGTGGCTCGCTGGAGGTCCCTCACCGTGTCAATTAAGCGGCCAAAGAACTCTAGGTAGATTCGAACAAGATTAGCAAAAGAATCTGTCAAGCAGTCATTCACGGGCAATGTACCCAGTGGCTTTGCAACAAGGCCTTGAGCAGTCCTTGCGCATTGACAATTGCCAGGATAGAGGGATACGTCGGCTCAGGTTGGGCGACAGCGATGGCAAGCTCGATGAGGCTTGCATTGTTGGCAGCTCGCCGGAGGTTCCTCAATACCTCACCTGAGTCATTGGGATACACTGAGCTTCGAGCAAGATTAGAATATTGCCGAGGAATAGGACGGCCTAGTAAAAACTTACGGGCGAGCAATATATCCAGTAACTCCACAATGACTCACAGAGCCTTCATCGTAAGGACGAGGGAGCACGCCAGTTCCGTTGAGCAACAGCGATAGCAAGTTCGATGAGGCTGGCATTGTTGGTAGTTCGCCGGAGGTCTTTCGATACCTCATCTGAGTCATCGAGAATCACTGTGGTTCGAGTCAAATTAGCAAATTGCCGAGGGGGGAAATGGGCTAGGTACATGGATGCTCACGGGAGGGTAATGTATCCAGTGACTCCACAAGGAGCCATGCAGCAATGTTCTTACAGAGCCTTCATCGCAAGGATAAGAAAAGACCAGCACCGCTGAGCTACACTGATGACAAGCCTGTTGAGTAGTGCCTCGGAGTCGATGCTTATGCACCTCAAGAGGTCACCACATTTGTGATCGATAACCATGGGATATGATTCTCAGGGGCAAGGAAGCAATGGATCAGAACCCGGTGAAGTGGTGGTAACCGAATCATTCTTCCCATCATCTCAAACAGAACTCAGTTCGTCCGAGTGTCAACAAACTGACTAGTCGAGCTTTGACTTGCAGACTGTGTCCAAATGCACAAACACCTGAATTAACGGTGATGGTGATGGTGGTGGCAGCAGCAGCAACAGCAGCGGCAGCGGCAGCGACAACGGCAAGAGTTTTCCTCACTGGCCTCTTCCTCACCATCCTTTTCCGCACTCAGTGAAGCCTTGTCAACAAACCGACAAGTCGGACTTCGATGTGCAGATCGTGTTGAAGAGGGCAAACACCTGAGCTCACGGTGATTGTGATGATGACGATGATGATGATGATGATGATGGAGGAGGAGGAGGAGGAGGAGGAGGTGGTGGTGGTGGTGGTGGTAGCAGCAGCGGCAGCGGCAAGAGTTTTTCGCACCCCAGTCTTTCTTCCGCACTCGGTGTAGACCAAGGTGCTATC